GGTGATATCTTTTATTAGACCACCTAGATAGTTGCAAAAAGAATTATTTATTTGCAAGCTTTCGGGCATACGTACCCTTCCTCAGGCATAGGAGAGTGCAAAGATTTTTAAATTTCTCCCAGGTAGAAATGAAAATTCATATTTTTCAGGAGAACTGAATTGGTGGTGTAAGATCTCCCAGCTGGAAAAGTCTTGAAAATGCAAATTAGGCTCAGATAAAAGTTGGAGCAGTCTATTAACCTCACAGTTGTCTGATAGTAAGCAGGATGTTGATTTATGCCTCTTTCTTGTTATGATGTTGCACTGCCTTTCAGCTCTCTTGAAAAATACGAATTTTCATTTCCACCTGGGAGAAATTTTACAATCATTGCACTCTCCTACACCTGAGGATGGGTGTGTTTGCCTGAAAGATTATAAATAAAGAATTTTTTTGCAACTATCTAGTTGGTCTAACTTCAAGTACTGGTAACTTCCTGAATCCCCACCCCTGACTCGGGTGGTTTGGAATAGAAAAGTGCATCCCACAGCTCAGGCTCTCAAGGAGCTGGTCCTCATGGGATAAGTTAAGTACGGGATTCACTGGCATCACAGAAAACCCCACTACTTGCCCCATTGGGCCTACAGAAAAGTCAGCCAGCTGCTGAGCAGGACATCAGATGACTGCACTGGGGAAGCCTCCTTAAACCACTGAACCCAGGAGCATGGAGCACTGCTGTTCTTAGCAGAGCCCTGAGGGGACCAGCAGCTTACTAAAAATGTGCTAAAAATTGTGTTGTGCCCTGTTCCTGGGCTCACTGTCAGGTTTCATGGGCTAACAGTCGCATTTTGCTGGTTCAAAGTATGGTTCTTTCTCCCTGGCTGCGGAGTGAACAGGAGTGCATGGAATGGAGTATCTGACGGGAGTGGACTCAGTGACCCAGGAAGCCCCTTCCGGTCCTTCCACAAGGTGGAGAGAGATGGACTGAAGGTGCTGCTGAGGGCACTCACTGGGAAAGGCAGAGGGCTCTGTTAGTCTCTGTTACTGTCTCTTCTCTTCTGGGCTCAAGCATATTCTGGAAAATTTCCTGATGGGAGTGTCTCCATCCCTCCCCCTTTCTCCTCTCCCCTCCGAAATGTTGGTGCAATGGAATGGAAACATTGCACAGGAAATGTACCTGCCCAGTAATTCGTCCCAATTTTCAATGGGAAATTGTGAAAATGTTTGATTTGAACTTTACTGTTTCTACTAGTTTAGCTACTAAATGTTTGGAGAGAGTCAGAATAAAGCTTACTCAAATGTAATCAAACATTTTGTTTCACAGCTCCTCCCCCTGAAAAAAAATTCTGCTTTTTCCCCTATGCCTGTTGAAATGAAGTTCCCTGTGAGACAGAAGTCCTGGTTTTTAACAAGCTTTATCCAACAGGAGGTGAACTGTTCACTGACAGCATCATGATATTCTGAACAGAATTGTGTTCCTTCATGTCTTCCATTGTTGGTCTCTCTTTTTTTTGTTCCCTTAAGTCTGCTTTTGGTGGGTTTTCCCTGCTGGCTTCATAGTCTCAGGCCCATTGGTAATATGGAGGGGACTTCTGTACTACAAACTGAGGGCACTAAACTTCCCCTGCTTCAGGAAGTTCAAGGGTTGCCAGCTGATATTAAAGAGCTATCTCTCATCTGACTAACTGAGAGGCTGGCATCTTGTCAGCCTTGTCAGGAGAGTGGAAAGATCAGAATAGGAAAATGGTGAGAGGAGATGTCACCAGGTTCTTACACTGATCAAGTCCTGGACATCGTCTTGTTTTGTCAGAAGGAAAAACAACATTGAAGGCCGTTGAGATGCACTTGAAGTTGGCTCTTATAGAGGAGGCTCTCTCCCCAGAGTCTGTGCAAGACATGCCTGCCTCCTTCAGCCCATCTGTGTGCCTTACCATGTTATAATCTTCTCCAGCAATGAGGCCACCAGGCATGTGCTGGAGAGGCAGGAGAATAGGAGAAGTTACTCAGTTGCCTCTGCACAGGGCCTTGAAATGCGCTGTCTTTGTAGATAAATGGAGGGAGCCGTTTGCAAGGGGCAGGTGTTGCCTGCAGCATGGGAGACCCATGTATGACACCTTATTGGGAATGCCCACAGCCAGGGGCACCAGCTAATGGTCACTACCACCAGAGCACAGGGAGGTTGAAGTGTGGCTCTTTGGCTCTGGGGGCATCATCCCTCAAGGTTGCATTGATGCCTGTAGACACAGGAGGGGAAGTGAAACCAGCTGAAAGCACAACAGAACTGTCTCATGCACCATCTCTGGCTGAGCAAAACCCAGAGAGCAAAGTGCATCCAGCCTGGGTACTTGGGAGCGCCGCTGAGCTGCTGCCACTTGGACAGGGGGTGAAGGACTTCTTGACCACCAGGTTTCCAGCAGTTTAATTCAGCTGGTGCAAGCCCATGTTGCTGGTCTTGTTCCAGGCCCATATAGCCTTGCTCCCAGTCACCTGGAGGTCCACATTGCCATATACTGGGTTGAAGCCAGTATGAGCCTGTCCACACCACGGCCTCTTGCTGCAGCTTAACTCAGTTGAACATCACACCTGTAGCTAAACCAGGCCAGCTTCTGCCTGCAGACAGGTTTGTGCCGAGTTGCTGTGTGTCTGACTTGGAGAGGACTCCTCCCCACAGACCTTGGGGCTTCCTCAGCTATAGGCAAGGATCCAGCCTGGAGTCTGGTTCAGGGAAGAACAGGCATGGACTTGTGGGGCTCTGCTGTGTCAGGTTTGCCCCCTCTTGTACACATGGACAGGGAGTGAGACACCTTTGTCTTTTCCTGATCCTGGGGCAGGGATGGGGTGGACCTTGCTCACTGGGAGCACCTTCTTATCTTTGGTAGTGAACACTCCTGCCAGGACATCCCACAGGGTCACGGGGCCTCCTCCAAGGTGACTGTGTGCAGTCGCATCTGCCAGTAGAAGACAAAGCTGCCCCTCCACCTGCTTACAGCCAGAAAGGCTTGACTTCCTTACTAGGAGGGGGCCAGGGGTGCAGTTGAGACTGTCACAGTCTGGGGGAATCCAACTATAAGCTGGACAGGAACAAGTGGTGCCCAGTCCCTTTGCCAAGGAAACTAGTGCAGGGAAAGCCTCACGTGCCAGGTCCTGCAGCTGGGCTCTTCTGGGATTGGCTTTTGATGAGTGCTCTGAAGGGGAAGGGTTCATTCCTCATTGGGCTCAGCTGGAGGGAAACAGAGCCAGGGGTACTGGGAGGAAGGGAAAATGAGCCTGAACCCATCTGATGAGACAGCTTCCAGGCTTCACAGAAATGCAGATGCAGGCAGGCATAGGTATGATCCTGCAGGATGCAGGGGCCTTGCCTAGTACAGCACAGCATGGGACCTGTTCATTGAACACCAGTTTCTCAGCAGAATGAGGCTTGTACATCATGTGCCAGCTTCTCTTCTGCCTGGCTGTGGGTTTCCTTGTTTGCCAGGACATCCATATGGTGTTGGCAGGGGTGTGTGAAGGGTTTGAGGCACAGGGACTGTGGGGCAGGAGAGCTTCTTGGGCTGTCAGCAGGAGCAGTGGAGTGAAGGAGAGGGGTTGCTTCAGGAAACCTTCTCTGAGGTGCTGAAGGAGCTGGGAACTGAGAGCATTGGACACCTTTCAGTATTGGGGCAAGGGTGGGGCTGACTGAGGAATCCTACCTTCCTGAGGGTGGGGAGATGGTTGGATCAGCCCCTGAGGAGCAATAAAAGAACCATTGATTGGGACATGTCGAAAAGGCATGGTCCTAGGTGCTGCTGGGGAAGCTGGCCTTTCTGCAGAGCTCCAGGCAAAGTGGGGGATCAGGTGGACCCACCTGATGCAGCAGTTCTTAAACCCCTTTCAGCCTTCCATTTTTCCAGCCTTGCTCACTTTCCCATGGGCTTGTCTTTGGCTTGGTCCATGGAGTCCGTCCTGCTGCTATCCCTCAGTCACAGGGCCTTGAGCTGAGCCTGCCTTTTCCCCAAGGAGCTATTTGCATGTAGGCTGCTGGGCTGCTGTCATGTCCTGGCTGCCGTCATGTCCATTGATGCCAGGCCCTGTAACATGCATCCCATTGCTTTGCCCGGTGAATCAAAGTTTCCAAAGTAATATTTACTCAAAGGAGAAAAAACTGGGTTGCTGATCTCCTGCCACCAGCTGCTGGGTCAGCCAAGGCACACAAGGCCTTGAAGGCAAGCCTGTTCCAGCCAGCTCTGCAGTCCACAGGGCAGCCTGAGAACTGGGGGGAGGAGAGCAGAGGCTGGTGGATCAGGGTTGCAGGACAGCAGTGGAATACCGGGGGGAACTATGCTGGGGTAGCAGGGGTTGGAGAGCAGGGCGGAGGAGCATTATTTCAGAGTCTTCCGTGCCAAAAAGGTAACTCCACCAGGCTCTGTCTAACTGTGTAGCTGACTGCTGAGCTATTGGAGCTCTTGAGTCCACTGAGAGATTTCTCTCTCTTCCTGCATTAATTCCACTGGTACCCTTGGTGCAATCAGCAGCCCATGGCTGCAGCCAGCTTGCTGTGTCCAGTAGTTGAATCTCCATATAAGGAGCTCACTAGTAAGCATCACACTTCTGTCCATTTCCAGTTCAGGCAGAAGCTTCCCATCCAACTTTCACACCCTAGACCTAGGGAGTTCTCTCGGCCCCCCAAGGAAGCCACCCCTGGGCAGCTAGGCCAGAAGATGGACCAGTGAGCTTGTGCAGCGTTTCCTCTCTGCAGAGCAGTGGGTGGTCACTTGGCAATCTTGGGCCTGCTGAAAAGCAGGGACAGAAATGCACCAAAGTTACAAGGTGCCATGTCTGCGGTGCATTTCCCAATGGTGTGTCTGAGGGTTTGTCCTGGAGCCATGCCCCTGCAGTCCCTGGGCATGTGCCTTCTGGGCAGATAAAGCAAAGCCAGGTGTCTCCTGGGACAGGTTGTGGGAACCTCTGGTGCAGAGCATGAGCCTAGTTCATGACTGCTACTGATTAACAGGCTGAGCACTCTACTGGTCTCTTTGATTTCCAGGGCTGCGATCCCACTCTTCGACACCGACACAGGTCTCTTGGTTGTGGCTGGAAAGGTGAGTGTGAAGTTTCAGGGCTCTTGAGGCTCCTTGTCCAGCAGTGGGACCCAGGGTTCTCAAATCTCTGGTCAGCCCACAGCTTTCCTGTGGAGGCAGACTCTCAAGCCCTGTCAGGGGTTCATCATGGCACAGCCCCCTCATCCCCAATGGTGAGGAAGGACACACTGCCAGACCAAGACCCTTCAGGGAAGGCATCACTGCTCTGTTACTTTGCTGTGTGTCCCCAGACCCGGGGGTCCCACTTTGCCGCTGGGGTGGAGATGGTGTCACCTCAGGGTCTTATTCCCAGGCACAGCTGGCCATAGGGGTGTTTCCTCCCACCCCACCCCCAGGTGGAGCCAGCTGCAGCAAACCCAAGACAATGGACTGGGAAGACTCCTCTGTGTACTTAGAGGCTGACATGGGATTCCCAACCTGCCAAACTGCCTGTGCTTCTCTGTTCCAGGGTGAAAACCTCCTCTACTGCTTTGAAGTGTCCCCCTTGCAGCCAGCCCTGACACAGGGTAAGGAGCCCCCACCCTTACCCCCACACCCCTAAGGAGCCTTGGTCTGTTGTGTTCCCACCTATTGTCAGGATATACCGGCTTCCCTGGCTCTGCAAAGTGTCCCAGGGTTGTGGACAGGCAGCCCCTTCAGGCAGGGAAGGGATACATGTGCACAAAAAGAAACCTTTGCTGGCCTGTGGAGAGGCTTTCTGCCCTAGGAATGGCCTCAAATACTCCAGTAAAGGAATTTGCTACTACACAGTGGGTCAGCCAGGTTGGGGACACACCACCTGGGCACATGCTAGTTTGTGACTAGAGACACCCCTAAGGAGCCTTGGTCTGTTGTGTTCCCACCTATTGTCAGGATATACCGGCTTCCCTGGCTCTGCAAAGTGTCCCACGGTTGTGGATCAGCCTGGCCTCAGCTGTGCAGGGTGGCATGAGAGTGAAGACAGCCTTGTACACAGCCCTGTGCAAAAACAACCACCAGTCAGAGACCTGGAGGATTCAGGCTGTGAGCAAGCAGTGAGGCAGCCAGCTGGTCCCAGGGCCTTCATGAACTGAGAAGTTTGGGGTAGTAGCCACCCCTACCCCTCTGAGGCATGATTCTCAGCTGGAGTAGGAAGGGCTGAAGAGGGCTGGGCTGGGGTGGTAACACTAGGGCCATCCCAAATACATTACTGGACTGTCTGCCTGATCCTCGGGAGCTTTGCTGGACATGGCTGCCAGCACAGTAGCTACCTGGACCATCCTAGCCTGGGATCCTGAGCAGCCGGTATTGTTTGATGGCCCCCACAGACATGTTAGAGGTGTCCCAGGAAGCGCTTTGAGCCAGGTTGCCCTGGGTGGTCATGGAGGCCAGGCTGTCCAGGAGCCTCTGGTTCCTCCTCATTCCCACCCCCTGAGCTTCACCAAGGGAAGGTAGGAATGCTGGAAACCCCTTCCTGGTCTCACTGCCATACGAAACGATGTATGACTGGGCAGGGCAGGTAGGTGTCTGCAGGCCAGCATTTCTAAAGGAGATGACACTAGTGCCAGGCCAGCATCCTTGCCAGGTCCTGCCCAAGGGCTATCCCATCTGACAGGAGCACTAGACTCCTTCTGTGAGAAGGGCCTTGTGTGCAGGCCATTAGACTTTGGCCCCTGCCCTGAGATTTCTGACTGGTGGGGTCACAGTTAGCAGCTGCTTTGGGGGATGATGCAAAGCGTGAAACAAGCATGATGGACTGTGTCTGACTTTGCCAGTGTGACCAGCTGCGTTGCTTATGGACCAGATTAAACTAGGGGCAGTGGTAGAGAGCTCAGGCCAGGGTCAGAACAGTTTCTTAATGGCTAGATCCTATTCAAGCCTGGCTCTGGTATTCTGGGTTGTGGATTGGGGTCTGTGTCACTGCCTTGGCATCCTCCTTCCCTGGACAGCCAGTGTATTAGTGCATCTCTATAAATACCACAAAGAGTCCCCAGGCTACCTGTTCCCTCCCCTCACTCACCACCCCCCTCCCCTCAATACTCCCTTCCACCCCCCAAGGACAGCCTCGCACTCACAAGGCCTTTGACTGTGTGTCCATTTCCCTTTAGTTAACCAGTGTGTGACAGAGGGCAAGACCCGGGGCGCTGCCCTGGTGCCGAAGCTGGCACTGGACGTCATGGCCTGTGAGGTGGCCAGAGTCTTGCAGTTGACAGACAGCTTCATTGTGCCCATCAGCTACACTGTGCCCCGTAAGGTAAGGGGGAAGACAGACAGCTTATTGGGATGCAGGGCATTACATTTCAAGAGGAGGTTAGATGAGTATCTAGCTGGGGTCATCTAGACCCAGCAATCTTTCCTGCTTATGCAGGGGGTCGGACTCAATGATCTATTGAGGTCCCTTCCGACCCTAACATCTATGAATCTATGAATCTACTGCCCCTCTGTCAAGCTGAGGGGCTCAACTGCCTCCTGCTAAAGTGCAGCTTTCTCTGTCTTGAGCTCTGGCTGAGACTGGACCTGGACACTGTAACTGGGTCTGACTGAGTCCACAAGCAGCATGAACCATAGATGGAGGTTGGACTAGTGACGGTAACTGTGTCCCAGCCTGGTTCTGAGCAGAACTGAGCACCTGAGCTCCCACTGACCAGTGAGTGACCAGGGTCTCAGCACAGCTTGACCTGACCCCAGGGAGCAGGAGTGTCCAACTCCTTTGGTCTCTGGACTGGTGAGTCTCCTCCCTTGCCCCTTCTGCCAGCACTGCAACCAGGAGCAGAACTAAACCCTCATGTAGATCTGGCAAACACTGAGCTCTTGAGCTGCTGCTGGGAAGGGGCATTAACTCAGGAGCACCTTCGATGTCCGGCTCTGCCTCCTGCTGTGGTTGGAGCAGCTTCTGCCTAGGATAGGAAGCTTCTGGCAGCACCGTGTCTACAGCTAAAGCTGGTCAGTGTTTTTTGAATTAAAAAACTTTTTCTGTCAGAAAAGACTAGCTAAATTTTTCTTTAAGCAAAAAGTCTGCAGAGAAAATGGTTTTTTTTAATTGTTTCAGACACACGCTGAAACTGGCCTTGGTGACATTCTTGATCACTTTCAATTTAAAAAGTCGTAATAAGCTAAAAATCCCAAGGGCCAAACTCTGAGCAATGTAGGGGACTTGGATGATTCAAAATAATGTGCATTTCAAACAAATAATCTCAGCCACATCCACCTGTCACCAGCAGGGAGAGCAGAAAAACACACACCCATGGTGCTGCTGGCCTCAGAGCAGAGCAGTTTTTAGTTATAACCAGGGATCTGGGATTTCCATTTTCCATGGAAAAACAGAGTAAACGGGATTTTGCCTTTTACTGGAGGCAAATGCGGATTTCTTGTTTTACCAGAGAAACCTGTGGATTTTGCAGTTTTGCAATGAGCTCCCTGCAGATGGGCAGAGTTCCAGCCTGCAAGGGGCTGGGGGGAGTGGGAGGAGGGCAGTCAGTCAGGGGGTACCATGTGCATGGACATGCACGTGGCCCCAGGCAGCCCAGAGAGAAGCTCCTGCAGGTAGGTGCTGGGGAGAGGGGGATTGAGGCCCGTATAGTGAGGGAGGAAGGGAGCTGGGCAGGGCTGGGGCTGCTGCCCAGCCAGGCGGTGCATGGGGCTTAAGGCCACAGTGCGCAGCTGCAGGGTCCCAGCATCGGGACAGGGTGGGGCTGTGAGTGGCTCATCTGGGGGGTGGGGAGGGCCGGCTCCCTGCTGCCACACTCACTTCTGAGGGGCAGGGTGGACTCATGCCCCCCAGATCTGTGCACAGGGTAAGCACGGGCTGCACGCTCAGACTCCCACCCTGCTTCCCTTCCCCAAGCCATGACCTGGCATAGCAGGGAACAGTGGAGCCGCACAGGGATCTCTTTGCCACTGTGAGCTCCGTGCTGCTCTGGCGATGTGCCCCCTGCGCATGCCACTGCTTTGAGGGGGACAGCCCTGTGCTGCTGCTTTCATTGCAGTCCCGCATGCAGGAAGTGCTTAGCCAGGACAGTACAGAGCTGGCAGCAGCGAGCAGCTTCTCCATGTGGTTCCGCCGTTCCCTGCCATGCCAGGTCGTGCCCGCTGGACTGCAGGGAGAGAAGCAGGGTGAAAGCCTGAGCCCGCATCCTGCTCCTGCCCCACTTACAGATGTGGGGGGCGTGGATCCCTCCTGCCCCCTGGGAGTGTGCGTGGTGGTGGGGAGAATCCCTCCTGCCTAAGGCCACAGCAGGCAACAGGGGAGAGCCAGGGCAGGGGGCTGCAGACCTGGGTCCATAGCCCTGGCAGCTGGGGGCCCCCTCTGGCAGGGTTGTGGGGAGCAGGGGCTGTGGGGCAAGGGGCACCAACAAGGCTGTGGGAGGGGTGTGAAAGGCATGATTAGGGCCAGGGGACTGTGGGTGGAGAGGGAAGGGTACCAGCAGGGCTGTGGGGACTGTGAGGGGCTTTTAATTTTAATCATGGATTTTGGGGGTTTTATTAGAGAGTTTGCAATTTTTTTATCAGAGAATTTGTGATTTTTTTTTCAGGGAAAACCAGGATCCCTGGTTATAAGCTTATAAGCTATCATCTTCAGTTACCCTTTCATAAGCCTTCTGGTGCCTTCCTTTCTCTCTCTGGATTCTGATCAGTTCTCATCTTACGAATGCCCTGGCAGCTTTCTCTAGCCTGTGGTGGCCTCAGAGCCTGCCTCCTGCCATCAAAATGGTTTAAAACAAGGGATGGGAGCAGAATTATTTGTAACAGGGGGTAACCAGGGGTTATATACATCCACAGCAAACAATTTCATGAGACCTGTGTCATTATAGACTCCAAGATGAACACGGGCCGCCAATGTGGGGACACAGGAAGGCTAACCGCACCTTGTCATGCATCCACAGATGCATCATGAGCAGGTCCAAGGAGGTGATCCTCCCCCTCTATATGACATTGGTCAGACCACAGTTGGAGTACTGTGTCCAGTTCTGGGCACTGCACTTCAGGAGGGATGTGGACAACATCAAGAGGGTCCAGAGGAGGGCCACTCGCATGATCGGGGGCAGCAGGACAGGCCCTACGAGGAGAGGCCATGGGACCTGAACCTGTTCAGACTCCACAAGAGAAGGCTGAGAGGGGATCTGGTGGCCATCTATAAACTGGCCAAGGGAGACCAGCAGGCAATGGCAGAGTCCCTGTTCCCCCGAGCACTACTGGGAGTAACAAGGAATAATGGCCGTAAGTTGACAGAGAGTAGATTCAGGCTAGATATCAGGAGGCACTACTTCACAGTCAGGGCGGCTAGGAACTGGAACCAACTTCCAAGGGAAGTGGTGCTTGCTCCTACCCTGGAGGTCTTCAAAAAGAGGCTAGATTGACACCTTGCTGGGGTCGTTTGACCCCAGCATCCTTTCCTGCCCATGGGAGGGGGTCGGACTTAATGATCTGCTCAGGTCCCTTCTGACCCTACCAACTATGAAACTTATGTGTGTGTTTTAGCTGGTTGTGGCAGCTTTTAACTCAGAGGGCTCTGCTCAGTCAGACTGAGCAGGAACAGAAGCAGCATCTGCCCACTCCCAGGCTGGGCGGCAAGCTCCAACTGACTTTGCTGCACCCAGGGCTTACTCTGCGGAGGGAGCATCCTTCTCCTGCCTGCAATAGTTCTATGCCTAGTCTCATTAGCAAAGCACACAGGATACAAGGCTGCAATTAAGGCAGCAGGGTGAACTGGGATGGGGATGGGGAGGGGGAAGAGGGCCCATGTGCAGGTGCGTTGTAGGGTGGATTTAGGGCAAAGGCATCTGCAGTCCTTTGGACAGTTCTGGGAGGTAGCCCAAAGCCTTGAGATGTCTGACACCTAGAGGTCTAGATGAGCAGTTCGGCTCCTGCCCAGTAGAGCCAGGTGCTTCCTTAAAGCAGGTCAGGTGCTGGGCATGGGAGGGCAGATTTGGAGTGTGAGTGGAGCCTTGTTTTGTTGTGGGGGGAGGGTGTGAACTCTAAGACAGACCCAGAGGTTGGAGTGTAGCTGGGTTCAGCATCCTAGCACCCATCTCTGCAGGAAGTATCCTGTGCCATAGAAGACCTGGATTCCCCTCCCGGCCTCCTGCCCTATGAGGCAACAGGTGCCTGAAGTACTGGGGAGCCTCTGTGAGATCCATGCAATGCTGGTATTTTCCCTGGTGGAAAAACTGACCTGCTCCCACAGCCATGAGATTATGGTCTGAACATGGCAAGAAGGTGCCTGGATAGTGAGAGAAAGTAGCAGAGTGAAGCCAGGCTAGGGGGTGACTGGAGGGAGTAGGGTATGGGGAACCCTGGCTGCAGATCAACTGGAGGGAGGATCCTGGCTTCATGTTGGGTGGCCAGGACACACATGCCACTCTCAGACATTAGCCCCTCAGTACCAGTGCAGTGGGCCAGCAGGCCTGTCCCAGGAGAATGGTCTCTCCCTGGCACATGCCTGCTCATAATGTCCCTGTGTCTCTTGCAGTCTGTTCAGGAGTTCCATGAAGATCTCTTTCCTGATTCTGCTGGGACCCTGCCATCAGCATCTTCCCAGGAATGGTGGTCAGGAGACAACAAACAGGTAACCCCTGGCTGATGGCTGCCTTGGCCTCCTGGAACAAGGACATTGGGCCATCTACTGTGGAAGTGTCATGTCCCTTGTAGGGAGAGGTAATTAGCCTCTATCTTTCCACCACCGCCAGGGATCTACTCAAAAGTCCTCTTCAGGAAGGTACCTATTTACCCTCCAGTCTTGGGTGCAGGAGGATTCTGAGAAAGATGCAGGGCCTCTGGAGGAGATTCTCCAAGGAGCTCTTCTACCTTGATCAGAGAATTCGGCTAGATTCTCACTCCCTTCCCTGGTCCTGGGGTCTGTAGTTGGAATCTCTTCTGGGTGATTTACCCTGGGGATTCTTGAGGGGCTGAAAGAATAAACATTAGCAATTCTTGTCAACTTTAAAAAATCTGATGTTTTTTATTTATTTAAATCAGATTTTAATTAGGTTCTTCCTTAAAAATAAGCCTATTTCAACTTAAATATGCAATACTTCTAAGCTCCATTAAAGTCTTGATTTGCACTAATCAAGAAATATCATTATGCTTTATAGTTAAAAAATGGACCATTCGAGTGGGGAGTGTTTGCAGAAGTTCTGGAGGAAGTCAGAGTGCTGAGTGGGTAGAAGTCCATGCCTGGCTAAGCTCTGGGAAGCAGGGTTTGCAGAAGTGCTGTACCAGCTGTGAATAGAAGTAGCCTCCCCTGCAGGTGCAGTGAGAATGTGTCTTTCATTTCAGCATATCCAGTTCAGTCCTGCTCAGTGAGTAGTTCACTCAAAGTTGAGAGACTGACTGGAAGCTGACAGAGCAAGAAAGCTTGTTTTCCTCTTCCTATCGGTGAATAAAAAACAGGTGAGGGGGTGACCAACTCAGCATGCCCACTGCAGATAACATGTCCTCTGTTTAATAAACCATTTAGTTTTAAATACTAAACATGTGTTAAACTTACTTTTTTCGTATGTATCTGCTACATTTCAGGTAGCTTTATTCAACTTGAGAAAACATTTTAAAATGTTGTTTTACTGCATGTTAATTTAATTCCCATACCCATCCAAATGTAGCTTAAAATAATCATCTAATAAAATGAAATGCATCATTCACCTTTTTATCATCATAAAAGAGAACTGAAATAACTGTATGTGCGGCTGCATAATTTCTCACACAGATGTGTTCACCTATGATGTATCCTCCTGGTCGGGTTAGCAAAACATGACAGATGAAGCATAAAGGCTGTAATCACCCTGTTTTAATGGTACCAGCTAGTGAAAAGCAACCTTTATGCAGGAAAATAACAAAAAGGGACGAATGTAAATTGAGGTTAAAATGGATTGTTTAAATGCACACCTGCTGCTTCCTCATTTAAATCAGCCTGCCCCCCTGAAGCCCTCCCTGCTGGGGGTGCCTGGTCCCTTCATCAGGGAGCTCCCTAAAGCAGGTGCTGGTAAGAAGGGACCCTAGTAGTGAAAATGCTGGAGACAGCCGCTTCTTCTTGGGGTATTTGGAAGCCCAGTGCCTGGTCCACAGCCCCCAGCAGCACTGAACCATGGGTAGCAGTGTTGGGCCATTTCAGGGAACTCCTCCAGCCCAGGCAAGCCTAGCAGAACCTGTCTAGGCCAAGGCTGCCTTTCCCAGGGAAAGTTGCCACAGTGCTCTGCCCTCTCCAGCAATGACCATCTCTTGCTTTTCAGGTGGGGAAGGTGAGCCTGAACCCAGCCTGGAGACCCAAGGAGACCTTCACCTTCAGCTTGTTCCCCCATGCCCAGCAGGAGTGTCTGCCTCATGACTCCAAGTGGCTAGATGCTGGTTCTGTGGACCTGGACCGAAGTGTGAGTGTTGAGTTTCAGCCTGGGGCTGGGCCAAGCTACTTGAGCCCCCTGATGTGGCACCTGGTATGGGAGCCTGGTATTAGTAGCCTCCTGCCACTGTGAGGACAAAATGCCTGGTCTTGCCGAACATACCTGAGTTGCAGGGCATGTCTATACTGCTGCCAAGCATGGCCACCCACCTTCTCCTGCTCTCACTCACCAACAAGACTGAATCCTGCTTGGAAGCCCCATTGTGCCTGAGAACATCATAGGGGTGTTTTCAAAAGCAGCTTCACCCCTGAATTTCCGAGCACAATGCCAGTGAGTGGGAGCAGGTGAGTGGGGCACGCCTAGGAGCAGCACTCCCCTGGGAGGCCAGGGCACAGTGTAGACCTCAGTGTGGTGTGCCCTGGAGCTCAGGAGCACCTGGCATGGATGGCCTGGGGGCTCCATCTAGCTGTTGGCCTGTGCAGCAAAGGGCAGGGGTGGCCAAGGTGTGGCAGGAATCAGGGCTGAGCAGAGCTGGCTTATGACAAACAACCAGCAAAGAAGAGAAGTGCAATCTGCCTGGGGCAGCAATGTTTCCCTCACAGTTGTCTTACTGCACCTTGGGGAGTGAAAGGCCTGGGATGCAGGGTCAGGGCAGTCCTGATTCCCATGTCCCTACCAACTTCTGAGCACTGTAGATTCATGCTTTGCACTTTCACTCCTGACTAGCAGCCCCCAACTTCTCCAGCCCAGCCCCAGCACAGCTCTGGCCATGTCCTGTCAGCCCTGACCTGCAGCACCCCCTGTTGTTCCGCTAAAGCACGTTCGGATTTGCCAGCTGTGGGATATGGGAAGTCCCTCCCCTTCAGATTCCTGAGCGTAATCCCCTGCTTGGCTGTGACCCCCAGGGTCCTCCCTGCAGTTGGGCATGAGGACATGGGCTTTCCATTCTGTGGGATAGCAGCTGAAGTGTATGTCCCCCTTCCCCACCGCCCTCCCCAGCTCCCTGCCTTGCTTCTATGGGGCTAGCAGGAACGGGGAAGGCAAGGAGCTGTTAGCCCTCTCTGACTCATCATGTGGTGCTCTCCCCCCAGGATGGCAGTGGCCTCTCTTCTCCCTCCAGCTCCCTGACTTCTCCCAGCATGGCCCCATCTGTCTCCACCACCAGTGGCTTTGCCAGCAGCTCCAGTCAAAGGTCCCTGCAGAGCATTCTGGGTGAGCATATGTGCATATGTTCAGTGGGGCATGGGTGTGTTTCTCTATAGAAAGCTCTCATGGGGCACCATCCTCTTGGTACCTCACCTAGTGCTGGGTGAGGCCTCTCCTGCTCATGAGTGCTCTGGAGACTCTCTCAGGCTGTAATACTGTCAGTCTTAAGTGGAAAAGAAGAGCAAAAGGGGTGGGGGTGGCCAGGTCAGTAGTGCAGCCCAAAGCCTGGGCTCTTTCTGAGAGTCCTACCCTGGTAGGAGATTTCCTGTGTTCTGAATTTCCTGCGTCCTTTTCTCAGGCCCCAGCTCGAAGTTCCGCCACACCCAGGGAACAGTCCTGCATCGTGACACCCACATCACCAACCTCAAGGGGCTCAACCTCACCACTCCGGGAGAGTGCAATGGTTTCTGTGCCAACCGGCAGCGCTTGGCAGTCCCACTGCTGTCATCCGGTGGGCAGATTGCCATCCTCGAGGTAACAGTGCAGCTTCCTCACAGTTGGGTTTGTTGCAGCTGAAAGGCACTATGCCCATGACTGTGGAGCTTGGCTGGACCCAGCATGGGAAGTAGGGAGTATAAGCTTCCTTTATTGCCCTGTTCGTGGGCCACAACCCCAACCTAGTGCTGAATGGAGCTGGGTCTCTCTGTCTAATCAATCCTAGCCTTCCACACACAGGCGATGGCTGATAGTCACAGGGGAAGATGCTCTGTCCCAAATCCCTGCTGTGACAGAACCAGAACTTCTGTCCCCCATAAACCCTAAGATTCTTAAATGTATTTTTGCTCCAAACCAGAAGAAAAGGCTGGAATTTTGGAATTTTCTGTGGAACAAAATTTCAAGAATGTTTCAGTTCAGGCCATTTGGTTGTTCCATTCTGTTATATTAAAACAGTGTGTGCATGTGTATGCATGCATGTGTGTGCGTGCATGCATGTACAAACCAGACACACACATGCCCCAACTCTGCTGCTTAAACTAAAGGGGGTCTCTCTGGGCAGCTCTGTTATCCTGCATGAGGCCAAACTCTAGCAGGCAGTGTCACATATACAAATGCCAGCTTAGTTCATTTAGTGTGACCCAGAGAGTGTAGAGCTGGAAGGGGATGTGATAGGCACCCTGGGTTGTCCTACTGCCACTGACTGGGTGTCTGTTTCAGCTCTCCAAGCCAGGCCGTCTGCCTGACATCTCCATACCCACCATCCAGAATGGGACGCCTGTCGCAGACTTCTGTTGGGACCCCTTTGACCTGCAGCGCCTTGCAGTCGGTATAGAGCTTTGCCTTCAGCTACTGTTTGGCTACCAGGCACCACTTGCAGTCTGGCCAGCCAGGAGTCTAGAACCCTCACACTGGCCTGAGGTGGCCCTTCCACATATCAGGCACAAGCACTGTGCTGTGCTGTGCTGGACCCTCTGGGACCCCTCCCCAGGGCCCACTCATGGGAACTGCAGTCCCTCCTAGTAATAACAAGGATAGTAAGAAGTCCTTTAAGTATGTAGAAGAAAAACAAGTGGAAGTGTGGGACCCCTGCTTAACACCTCGGGGCAGCTGGTAACCGATATTCAGGACAAAACTGAACTGAATGCCCACTTTGCTTTAGTATTTCACCAGACTGTGGGGAAAGTCAAGCGAGATAAGGCTCAGAGGGGACATGCCAGGACTGACAGCCTGCCCACTGTGGATGCTGAGTGGGTGCAATACCAATTAGAAAAGCTAGACATTTATAAATGAGCAGAAGTGGTTTGACTCCATCCGAGAGTGCTGAAGGAGCTGGATGAGGTCATTGTGGAACACCTGGCAAAACTCTTTCAGAATTTGTGGTACATGGGGGAAATCCCTGAGGATTGGAAGAGGGTCAACATTGTGCCCATCTTCAAGAAGGGGTAGAGGGAGGACCCAGGCAACTATAGGCCAGTCAGCTTAGCCTCCATCCCAGGGAAAATCCTGGAAAAGCTCATTAAAAAATCTATGTGTGATATGCTCGCAGAAGGTAAGATTCTGAATGACAGCCAACATGGCGTTGTCACGGGTAGGTCTTGTCTTACCAATCTCATCTTCTACGACCAGGTCTCTCGCCACCTGGACATGGGAGACGTAGTAGATAGACTTCCGAAAGGCTTTTGATCTAGTATCCCACGATATCCTTGTGGGAAAACTGGAAGATTGTGGGCTCAGCTGCTTGATGGTTCAGTGGGTGGGAAACTGGCTACAGGGTATGACCCAGAGAGTTCTCATGAATGGATCTGTGTCGCCCTGATGAGAAGTGGCCAGTGGTGTCCCTCAGGGTTCCGTGCTTGGACCAGTGCTTTTCAACATCTTTATCAATGATTTGGATGGGGGAGTGAAAAACTTGCTGGCCAAGTTCACAGACGACACCAAGTTATGGGGCAGTGTGGTCATATCAGAAGTTAGATTGCAGTTATAGGCGGACCTGGACAGGCTCGAGAGTTGGGCAGACTGGAACCAGATGAAGGAAACTGGGGGCAAACAACCCTCAACATACATACAGCCTCAGTGGTGGCAGATTGACTTGCACCACAGCTGAAAGGGACCTAGGGGTAATGACTGGCCATCACATGAACATGAGCCATCAGTGCAAGGTGGTGGTCAGCAGGGCAAACAACATGCTGGCATGCATCAACCGATGCATCTCGTGCAAAATTAAGGAAGTGATACTCCCACTATGCTCAGCACTGGTGAGGCTGCAGTTGGAGTACTGCGTCCAATTCTGGGCGCCACACTTCAATAAGGACGTGGAAAAACTTGAGAGGGTCCAGAAAAGAGCCACCTGCAGGATCAGGGACTTGTAAGGCAAGCCATATGAGGAAAGGCTGAGGGACCTGGGCCTCTTTAGCCTAAAGAAGAGAAGGTTGAGAAGGGACTTGATAGCAGCTTACTGTTATATCAGAGGAGTGCATCAGGAGCTCAGTGAACAACTGTTCACTAGGGTACCCCCAGGGAAGACCAGGACCAATGAATGCAAATTCCTGGAAGGCTGCTTCAGGCTTAATAGTAGGAGAAACTCCTTCACAGTCAGGGTGTCCAGACTGTGGAATAAACTCCCTCCAGAGGTGGTGCAGTCACCTACCCTGGAGGTTTTCAAGAGGAGACTGAACAGTCATCTTGCTGGGGTCACCTAACCCCAGTTGTCTTCCTGCCTAGAGTCATGGGGCTGGACCCGATGATCTGCAAGGTCCCTTCCAGCCCCTAACAATCTATGAATCTATGAAAAGTACTGGCACCTCCCAAACTCCCATCTTCACCCGATCCAAAGCACTCTGCAAACAGGAACTGAGCCCCTCACTCCCCTTCCCCCTAAAGGAGCCTGTTTTAGAGAGGGAAACTGAAGCACAGTTTATTAATGGGAGTCTTGCAACAACACCAAGGCCAGAACTTGGATTTCCCAATTCCCCATTTTGGGCTCTTGCCACTGCACCCTTTCCCCCTCCCCACCCCTCCCCCCAAGAGTGACAGGCAGAGAATGAACCCACTCCTTACAGAGTGCTGAGGCCCAAAGCCAGGAAAGAAATACCATTTAATTAATGTATGAGCAGGGGGATCTGAGGGCTAGGGGCCTGCAGGAGACCAGGGGGCAGTTCTCAGCAGCTCTCTTGCCCCCGTGTGGCAGAGGCTGGCAGTGCCATGCTGGCAGGCCAGGGCCTTCCCCTGACTCTGGTGCTCGGGATCGGCTGGCACCAGGCTCACTCTTTGTCTCTGTTATGTTCAGCTGGGGAAGATGCCAAAATCCGGATCTGGCAAATCCCTCCAGGAGGGCTGCAGAAGACGCTGCTAGAACCAGAGGCTGTGCTTCGAGGTAAGGGTCGTGTGGGTGTGAGGGTGCCTTCTCCCTCCCAGTGGGAAGGCAGTATGAGTGAGCTAAGGGTGCCTCACTGCACAGGGCAAGCAGTCAGTGGCCAGCCCTGGAGGAGGCCAGGACATTTCTGACCGCTGTGTGGCTTGTTTAAGTAGTGCAAGCTGTGGTGGGTGGGTAGACCCTGCTTGGGTGGCCTTGGCAGAGTGTAGGAAGCAGACCAGCCCTGGCTGGGCTGTGGCTCCCTTGCCCTGGTGGCCCCTCACACTGAGGACACAGGGCCAGAAGCACTCTCCACTTCCTCTTTCCCAAGGTCATACAGAGAAAATCTACTCCATCCAATTCCACCCGCAAGCTGCCAACATCCTGGCCTCTTCCTCCTATGACATGACGGTGCGGGTCTGGGACCTATGTACCAAGCAGGAGGTGCTGTGCCTGAAGGGACACACTGACCAGGTAGGAGGCGAGCCAGCCTGTGGTAAAGCCAAGCCAGGGAGGACAGGGCTGAGGCAGAAATCAGGGCACCACCTGGGGGTAGAACCAGAGTGTGGAAGGGATACACTGATGCACCAGGGAGCAGGGAGGAGGCGCGACACATCTGTTCTGCCACATTAAGCAGGGCTGGACCTGGGTTGGGCTGGGTGACTTCTGAGGGCGATGTAGGAGGAGCTGTTGGTGATAGAGCATTGAATGCTGAGACATGTAGTCTGTGATGGCCACAATGTTGTTCAGCACCCCTGGAGCAGGGTGCTGGGATCCTACCCCTGCCATGCTTAACCACAGCCAGCTCCATCATTGGATCCAGCAGCACAGAGGGGATGGGGCATCCTAAGACATATCTGCAGGGGCAGCCATTGGGACCTGGAGCATATTAACAGTCAGGCTGGAGCTGGGGCTCTCAGTGCTGTGGCACATACCTGCTGCCTGGGCTAGGGGTGCCCCTCTGTTGGCTATGGGGCTGGGATCTGTTCTATAGTGCAGGAGGCCTCGGCACCAGCTCTGCTGAGCTGTTACACTGATGTGTGTTGCTGCAGTTGTCTCCCAAGGCTTGTTGTGCCCTGTACCACTGCAAGCTGCATGTTTTACATGTGTGGTTTGCTCACCAGTACCTGCTTTGGCCTGGGTTGCTCTAATCTAGTGGTGCTCAACCTGTGGTCTGCGGGCAGGATCCAGCCTGTGGGGTTTTTTGTCATTTGGTCCAGGGAGCTCCCCACAGGTCTGGAAACTTGGCAGTGGGGAAAAAGTTGCAACATTGATTGCTGGTGGCTCTGGGACTGGGCCAGCATGTTGGATTGTACCCATGGACTAACTCCATGTGCCAACCCTGCACTGGATTGGGCCCCCAGACTGGCCTCACACTACTCATCCAGCCTGCGGGGCCAGATAAGTTGAGCACCGCTGCTCTAAACTGAAATCACAGTGTCGACAGGGAGCTTTGCTGAGATGGTTGGAACCCTGTTTCCTTTAAACTGGGCAATGCCAGTTTGTGACTGGGCCCTTGGCAGGAGGCACTGACATGGGTCAGGGTCCCACTCCATGGAGAGGGTGATGGGAACTGCCTTATGGGGCACAGCTTTTCCCTCTGCTCTGCTATAACCCTTGCTCATGCAGGCAGTATCCTCCCTCCTGACTGGCCTGTGCTTTTCTCAGGTTGGTTCTCACAGTGAGTCTAAGAGGAGGGTTTGTACTGGGAGGAGCAGGCTGGAGCTGCCACTCACCCAGCCCATCAGTGGCTGTGTCCTCCCTGGCCCCAGGTGGTGCTGGCAGAGCCCAGTGTGAGGGCAGATTGTCACGTGCAGTGCAGCCATCACTGCGGGCTGGGACACAAAAGATATCGGCATCGGGTGTCTTACAGATCTTCAGCCTAGCCTGGAGCCCTGATGGGCGGAAGCTGGCCACGGTCAGCAAGGATGGCCGGGTGCGGCTCTACGAGCCCCGGCGGTCGCTGGAGCCCGAGCAGGTGAGGTAGAAGTCATCAGGCAGGTCACTTGTGTGGAGCTCAGCTGGGGGGATGGAAAGCAGGGGTTGTGCTGGGGTGGAACCCCTGAGCCATAGAGACAGAGTAGATCCTGGGGAGAGTGCTGCTGGCAGTGCTTTGGGCACGGACGAGCAGGTGGAGCAGGCTGCAGGGCTGTATGTGCCTCTACCCAACCCCACTGCTTACACACCACTGCTCCCCCCAGCCTGTGTGGCCCCTTATACAGCCATTAGGCTCTGGTCATGCTCCTGGGAAAGGCCATCTGCATGGGCAGGGGGTGGTGCTTAGAAGAGTAACCCTAGTTTCTTCCTCTCCTACAGGATGGCCCAGGCCCTGAGGGCAGCCGAGGTGCCCGTGTGGTCTGGGCATGTGGTGGCCACTACCTGCTGGTCTCTGGCTTTGATAGGTAAGGCCAGAGTCCACTTCCCCTGCTGGGGCCTGTGCCTGCTGGGCTTCTACAGCTCGTTGAGCCCACTGGCTCCGCAGATGATGGGCCACTACCAAATGCCTAGGAATGTCCAGCTTCCCATGATGGGGCACTTGGTCCTGCCCTTCCCATCCTATGTAATTAATTGCAAGGGCCCCATCCAGCCTGACCACAGCTCAGCCACCTGTGGGGGAAGGTGGCAGCTGACTCTAAACTTGGGTACTTGATTGTTTGCAGGCAGCAATTAATCAGGACCACCAGTCCTCTGAAATCTTGCACCAGTCCAGGCAGCTGGAGGTGCTGGTGCCCAGAGCTCTCCCCACTCTCCCTGCCCTGAGCTAGCACAGTGCCAGCACTTGTCAGAACCAGGACTCCCTTGTGGCCAGGAGCATTTTCTCTAGGGTTGTATCTATGACCTTGCTGCCACAGGGAGTGGGGTCAGCCAACACAGACAGGACACTTTTTTAGCGTTGCTCCGAGCAGGGTCAGGCCAGTCACAAAACACCTCCCCAGCAGAGCCTTTAGTCACAGGAGACTCCCAGTGCCCTCCCAGTAAGAGGGCCCAGGGCTGCTGCAGATGGTTTGTCCCAGAGGAGAAGCTCACCAGGCCTTAGACAGGTCACAGATACTATCCCAGGATTAGGGGCTCTAGCTGGGAGCAGGACCAGGCAGGTAGCTCGAGGAGACTGACAACCCTGGGGCTGGGTCCATCCCACCTTGTTACTTGCAGGAAAGCACAGAGCTGCTCGGGGTTCTAATGGGCCCTAGAGGAGATGGCATTTCTCACTTTTCTCCTGAACTGTCATGACATACAGTTAAATACATGATGTGTCCCCTCCTAGAGGTGACTGTGCTTTGCCTGTGAGTCAATTTTGGGGCACACGGCACCATTGGCAAGGCACCAGAGGATTCTCTGAGACCAAAGGTGCCATGTGGCTGCGCCTGGGTGTGGTAGGAGCTGTGGATTTGGCAGGACAGTAGGCCTGAGGCCTCCATGTGTGGGAGGCTAGTGAGGTGTGACACCCCATGCAAAAGTCACTGGGGATAGGGGCTCCTCTCCTCTCCAAGAGAACATCAGAGCAGGAAGAAACCGTCATGTGTGCGGAGTGGGTGCAGAGATCAGCTTGGTCAGCCTCTCTCTGCTGGTATCCAGTCAGAAAATAGCCCTATGTCTCTTTATCTCCAGCTGTCCATCAGGACCCAAGATGGGGGTGGGGGGAGATGCCCACATCCTGTCTCTCCTGATAGATTCAGGGGCAGGTCCTGAGCAAGAGAGAGCCATCGTCCGCATGTCTGAACCAAGATGGCCACCATGCTCCATGCCTACTGCACAGTAGCAGCCAGCTTCCTGCATACTAGAGCCATTTGGGCTAGTGCAGAGGTTGCCAACCACCAGGCCATTGCCCAGTATCAGGTTGCGGTGGGTTGGCTGCCTGAGTACCCCACTCAGACCCCTGTCTGTCCGCTTGGGCAAGCAGCTTCCAGCTCCTGCTGGGCTGCAGTATAAAAAAGGTTGGGAACCACTGGGATAGAGTATGGCATGTTTGGCCAGTAACACTTGCCTCACCATCCCCTGTGGCCAGTGTAGACAGCAGATGGTTGTGGTGCTCTCTCCGGCAGCCGCAGTGAGCGCCAGTTGTATCTGTACAAGGCCGACTCCCTGTCTGCTGGGCCTGTGGCAGTGGGCACTGTCGATGTGTCTCCCTCCACCCTCATCCCCTTCTATGACGAGGACACCAGCGTTGTCTTCCTGACAGGCAAGGTGAGTGGAGGGATCAGTGTCCAGGGTGGACAGGGCTGTTTGGCAGTCCCTGATTTCCTTAGCCCAGTGGGGGCCAACCCTTTTGTTAGATGTGCCACAGATTGGTAGGTATGCCACAAATATGCAGCATGTTCCCCAAGTGCCACTGTAATCCCCTTCCCCTGTGATATATGCTGCTCTGCTTTCTACTCTATGCCCTGTGCTCCCTGTCTTATCTGCTGTTCTGGTTTCTGCTTCATGCCACACAAAGGGGTTGCCTGTGCCACTTGTAGCACATGTGCCATAGATTGGCCACCCCAGCCTTAATACATGCAGATCCTCTGCCTGGCCTTTGATGTTCCTGCCAGAGCATAGGAGCCCAAGTTGTGGCTACAAGATGCTGTGTAGCATGTAAAGAGGGCAGCCTCCAAAGAGGAGACTCTAGGGGGACCCCGCCTAGTGCTCAGACCAGGTCTCCCTGCATTTCCACTGCTGGGGTAAGCCCAGCCCACCCAGGGCTGCCAGGTTGCAGGCAGTGTCCAGCTGTGAGCACATCCACATCCAGACTGTGCATGGGCAGCAAGCAGGGGTCCAGCTGCCTTTGCTGGTCTGAGCAGCCCCTGCTGGCCCTCTGCATCAGTGAGCAAAGAGGCTGGCAAGGCGAGGGTCTTCCTGCCCTGGGACCATGATTGGTCCTCTGAAGGGTCTAGACTTTGTGCCTTGAATGGTCCTGGGGAGCATCCCCTGCCTCAGCCTGTAGCCTGACAGGCAGCAGCTTGTGGCCCTGACAAGCCTGCAGCCTGTGGCCCTGACAAGCAGTGTGCCACACTCCCATGCAGGGAGGGAAGGGTTGTGCTGTTCCTGGGTGAGGGGCCTGGCCCCTCTTCATTGCCTCTGGGACTCAACCCACTTTCTCGTGTGATGCCAGGTACCCCCAGGCCTTCCATGGAACTGATGCCATGGCCACCACTAACCCTGCAGGCCTTGTCTAATAGGAGCCCTGAACTTCTGGATCCTAATAACCCTCCCTCCCTCCACATGCCCCTTCTCCCACTTGAGTCCCAGGCAGAGATGAGCATGGCAGGGTGGCAGGCCCACCCAGACCCCTAACAGCTGCAGGGAGCCCTCCTTAGACCTCCTCTCACTGCCCAATGCATCTAGGGGGACACACGAGTCTTCATCTATGAGATTGTCACCGAGGCGCCCTTCTTCTTGGAGTGCAACAGCTTTTCTTCCAGCGACCCCCACAAGGTGAGTGCTTTGGGTGCATAGAGCCTCTGTAGAGACCAGCGCTCTCCCTGCTCCTGAAGCGCAAAGGCTGGATTGGGCTGGGAACAGCAAGATAAGCCCCACATGTCACAGTGGCTCAGGAAAGAAGCCAGACATAGGTCCATGTCTCAGGGTGATGCCTGGCAGCAGCACGATGCACTGCTGCAGCACTTGGGCTCTGAGGCACATCCATCCTGCCCAGCCCATGTTTGCTGAGGCTGTCCAGCCTCCCCTTGAGCACCCCCAGGGAGGGATCTGGCCTCTTCTCAAAGCAGCCCCTCTACATCCTGCCCCACCCTGACTGTCCTTCTTAGGCCCCCAGCCCCATGCCCCTGGGTGCAGCATGGGGGAGACAGTTCCTCTGGCAGCTGTGCCGGCAGCTGTGCCAGCACCTCTGCCTGCTCTTACCCCACTCCCAGCCCCTCTCCATTTCTGGCACATTTGGAAACTGCCCCCTGGTGGCCGCCCAGGTGCATTACCACCCCTGTAGCTCACGTGCAGGTTGTAACCTGAATGCTCTGGGGGGCTCACTGCAAAGAGGCCTCGATCAAGGACAAAGCCTTTGATCCCCCACAGCCTGGGGGAGCCCAGCCTAGCACTAAGCTGCTGGTGTCCAGCTCTTCCCCTGCTGGGGCTCCCTGTGGGCTGGCTCCAGAGACGCTCCTCCCCCAGCTGGGGCAGTGCAGCAGGTGGGATAGGACTGCCCAGTCCCTTCATGCCTTGCCTCCAGCCTCCATGCTGCTGTTTTTATGGGGCTGTGTGGGTAATCAGAGCCCTCTGCAGTGTAGGGAGACAGGGGTGACAGCCCCCAGCAAGCTTGCCCCACAGAGGGCTCCAGGGCAGCCTCCTGCCCTACAGCAGGGTCTTCTTATCCCGTCCTATAAGGATCAATGCAGAAGACTTGGGGGACGCATGTCTGGGAAGGGGAGGGGCAGATGCTGAGGGCTACTCCCTGTGTTCTGTATGGGAGCGGCCCCTGTTTTCTGCTAACTCTGGGGCAAGTGTGCATAAGTCAGGGCACTGGCATCCCTGTGTCTTGGCTCTCAGGTCCTTCACACATGGCCTGTTACCATGTGCTGTTGCAGGTGCGCACTGCCATGTTCTTCATCAGAGCTGGCTATGTCTCCCTGGAGGCTAAAGCCATCCCTATCTGGATGTGGCTTGTGGCTCTGTCAAGGACATGAAGACCTTCATGAAGCCCTGGACAGCTCAGCCAGAGCTCTACAGAGCCTGCAGCACTGCCTGGCATGGCTTCCCAACAGCTGGGACCCTGCCCCAGATTCAGCCTAAAGTGAGCTGGTGTACAGCACCTAGCCATATCACCAGCACTTTGGGGAGCAAGAGCCTGGAGTGCAGGTGACCCAGCCTCTGGGGCCAAGACAGCCCGAGTGCTGCGGGGCCTGACATCACCCCTGTACTTTCCCAGGGCTTCGTGTTCCTGCCCAAGACTACGTGCAACGTGCGGGAGGTGGAGTTTGCCAGGGCCCTGCGTCTGAGGCAGAGCTCTGTGGAGCCAGTTGTCTTCAAGGTGCCCAGAGTCAAGGTAGGCCCTGTGGCCCAGCTGCACAGATGTCACCAGGGTAGGCTCCCTAGAGAGACTGTGCTACTCCCTTTTGGCTGGCCAGGGACCTGCTCCTTCCCACTAGTGCTGAAAGGCCCTGAATGAGGGGCTAGCCCAGGACTGACTCTTTCACCCAACCTTTCTTCCCCCCCCCTCCCCCCCTGCAGAAGGAATTCTTCCAGGATGACATCTTTCCCCCCACAACCATGTGGTGGGAGCCAGCCCTCACTGCCACTGCATGGCTCACAGGCAGCAACGCACAGCACCAAATGTTGAGCCTCCAGCCCAAGGACATGACTCCAGGTGGGAGCAGGCAGGCTCAGGGTGCACTCTGGGGCAGAGGGATGGGGGCTGGGCCTCACAGCCAGGTTTAACCTGGGCCTTGAGTGCTTTCAGCCCCTCACCCCCAGCAGCAGCATTGCAGGGGGGTCCTGATAAGGGATTCTCCACTGATGGGAACTGCTGCAAAGGACCCACAGGTTGGTGCCGTGAGTTCTTGCCAGGCTGGGCCACACCAGGTCAGCTTGGCTCTGGTATGGCTGGAGTGGGGACCAGGAGACTGGGCTGGCCTGGTAGGGGTTGCCTCTCTCAGTGGGCCTGTTTAAAGGCCAGTGCAGTTCTCTATTAACCTGTTGTGAACTTTGAAGCATTCCTGTAAAGCAGAGATGCTGTGCAACATGAGGGCAAAGGCAATGTTCACAGGGCTGGTGGGGATCCCTAGGGCTAATGGGTCAAGCCACCTGCCATCAGAGGCACTACAGCACATCAGAAGAGGGTGTTGGTGATATTCTTTCTCCCTGATGGTGGCTCTTTCCCCAGTGAGCGAGGCCCCGAAGGATATCCCAGTCAGGAAGTATGCCCCATCATCTGTCTACCTGGAGGAGAAGTCTGATGAGCAGAAGAAAGAGGAGGTGAAGAGGAGATCCCTGTGTGGGGCTGAGAGAGGCATAATCCCATCAAGCACGTCAGTGCCCACTGTTGGCCATGCTGGGTTCCGTCACGTTATTTGGCATTGCTGGGCCTCCACCACCAGGAACCAACACTGCCCACCAACATTGCCAACCGGGAGCCAGAGATCTGGCACCACAGTACCCAAGAAAGGGACGGGCACTCATGTGCCATATTGCCAGGGGCTTATAGGACCTGTTTCCTCAGAAAAATCCCTGGGAAGGGGTGGCAAGCAGTGGATAAGCCCCCTGGTGCCCATCAAGGTACAGGTGCCAACCACCCTGTAATTCTCCTTGCAGTTGCTGAGCGCGATGGTGGCCAAGCTGGGCAACCGTGAGGACCCCCTCCCTCAGGACTCCTTTGAAGGGGTGGATGAAGACGAATGGGTAGGAAGACAGGGCTGGGGGCCCGGTTGGGGTGTCTGTGTGCAGAATGGGTGGTCTTTGTATGGACATGTTTCCCACATCCTCTCCTGGGCCTTGGGCTAGTTTCACTGACTACTGGTCCCTAGCTCTGCCCAGGATGTATGGAGGCCTAGGGGCCCTGTACATGCCGGCTGCCAGGTATTTGGTCCCCTGGGAGGACCATGTGGAAACATGCTGCCCACTGCAATGGCCAACGCCTGGAGCTGCTCTGGCTTCCTGCTCCCAGTAGCATGAGCTGGCCATGCAGCAAGCTTTGACTCGTTTGCTGTGGAGCAGCCCTGATGGTCCCCCTGCCTGATGGGAGCCTGACCCCGGAACATGGGCTCTGGAGAGGACCAGCAGGCTTCAAAAAGCTCAAGAGCCCTTACCAAGCGCTCATGCAGTCATGGCCCATTTTCCTCCTTGTTTGCAGAACTGTCTTACTGCCGTGGCAAGCTCTGGCTTTCCCCAAGCTGCCCAGCACAGTGCAGGGTGTTGGAGCTGAGCTCCCATGCCCATCTCCTGCTGTGCTCACGCTGGTCTCTTCCTTTGCAGGACTAGTCTTGGCAAGGCAGTCCTGTTCCTTCAGCACCACAATCTCCTCATCTCTGAAGCTGTCTGGATCCTTGCCTCCCTTCCTTGTATTCTCAGGCCAAGAAGCCAGGCACCCCAAAGCCAGCGCCAAGGCTTCGCAAGCAACTGGACTGCACCCCACTCCAACGGTGCTTACTCTGAAGAATCTCCCATGCCCACCTTAGTGTGCAAACCTCCCTGGTGGAGACCTGGACCATCTGCTGGACCTTCTCCCAAGTGCCCACGGAAGCCACCTGCCTTTCTATCTGGGGGCTCCAAGTTCTGAGTCAGCTGCTGGTCCAGCATCATCTCTGCAAAGGAACTGGCAGGGTGTCTGAGGCCAAGCCCTCCTCTAGTCTCTAATAATCTGTCAGAGGAGGTGGGGAGGGGTGGTGCTGGCCATACCTCCCCCTGCTTTGTCTTCTGAGTTTGCTTGCTCCTAGCTAGAGCAGTATTATGTCAGCAAGTCACACAGGCATGGGGGCTAGCTGTGCTCTGGCTGGTTGTCATATACACACTTCTGCTGTGGGGAGTGCAGTGGGTTAGTGACAATTCAGGGACCAACCATTCCCCACAACTGCCCTCACTCAAGAGCATGTGGAGAGGACAGGGCCTTGGGACTGTGCCGTCCAGGTTGGCCTGGCCCGAGGCAGCTGTGTTCATGGCTGCAGTCACCCTCAGTTTTGCCAGAGATATGGCTCAGGCCCTCATTCAGCACAGTGCCTAAGTGCCTCACTTCAAGCCTGTACTTACATCTGTCCACATTCAACAAAGGACCAGCACATTGCTTGGAGGTACTGACTTGCTCTGTTTCTTTCACTTAAGCAGGTGCTATTGAGACCAAAGGGCATAGGTGGGCACTTTCATAACACAGGGCATGACCAGTTCTAACCCAGCACACCTGATTGTAGACCCTACTGGTCCCAGCACAGCCATTGCCTGGTGCTCTCTGAATAGTAGAAATGCCAGTGCCTCCCCACAGAGGTAAAGCCCAGTGAAACTTTTCTTGAGTTTACTGTGTGTCAGTTTTCTATAGCAAGGGCACCAGCCCTTCCTGTTGTGCATCAGTCCTTAGCCTGAATCTAGATGGCGAGCAGGGGCCGAACAACAGAGAAATGCCACCAGTCAGCAGGCA